CTTTATGGACAGGTACTCAGCTTAGTCTCTCAGATACGGACGATCATTCATCCTATCAGGGAAAGGATATCATATTTTACGCCTATCCTTTGCAGCATAAAACTGTGTTGCAATTCATAGAGACCTGCTATGTTTGGGCAAACAAACTTACTCCACACGAGTATAAAAATGCATGTACCCATTGACCTAAGCATTCCCGAAGTTGTGTGCATTTTCTTTGTTTCTTTCGGTACCATATGACTTGCGGAATACCGACAAGGAGTAATGAAACCAATTTAATCATTTCGAGTATTTGTAGTACACTACTCATAAGGCTGATGAAAATTCGTCGACAGCCCACGACCGGTTTCGTCCTTCTTGGGGCTTGAGAAACATCACACACGGGAGACTCAGATGGGTTCCGGGTGATTTTCTCGAAGAACCAAACTTATTTGCAAATGAGTGTATTTCGCTAATTTCGAGCAATTTGGTTTCAAGTAGAACATAAGGTTGACAGAAATTTGGGGACTGCGGCGACCTGATGAGGTCCAAGAAAGGGCGAAACGGTCGTGGGCTGTCGACGAATTTTCAGCAAACTTATGAGTAGTGCTAATCTCGAGTATTTGTTGCCCGCGACATTTTTGGGAGCATTACTGGTTGAACGGCATCATGTTTTCATACCTGGGGCGTTGAAAGCGCTAAAAAGTTACCGATTCGTTGTCACAAAATTTGCTGACATATTCTCCCGATTGTCTATACTGAATCTTGCTGAAAAGACCAAAATGTACAGTTAGTCCTGATACCATAGTTATAAACTGTGGTGTGCACGTCGAGGGTCGACTTTCCAACTCACGAGGGCTCAGTAGCTTTAACTTGTCGAATAGTGAACCACTTCTTCTGACTTCACAGTCACTCCACATCCGTGCGAGATTATACTTATGTCTGTCACAATTGCTCGGCGCTCTCGAACAGCATTTAGGTCACGCTTGATGAAGGACGTCAACATGGGTAGTCTCAAGTCCATAAAGACGGTGTATCTCAAGAGACAGAGATGTTCTCGGAGTTACCTTGGTACCATATTACGGCGAGCACATCGAACACTATGAGTGATTCAGCAGAAATGCATAATATGCATCAAACTCTCCGGTTGACCCTGGTTTCCACCACAGAAGCTCGTTTGGCCATCATACTCAAGCTGAGCGTCTCTAACTCTCGTCTTCTCCGGTTGCATTAGAGCTCTTCTCACGAAGGGCAATAAATAACCTCAGTTTATTACACCTGAGTGCGTGATTGATGACCAGTTATAGATGGTCTATTAGTATTTGAGCAAATAATCCGCTAACAAATTGAGCAATCCTGATAGGGGTGTTAACTAGTCATTGCGACCAAGACACTGATGTTGCGTTTCAATAGCTGACATTTACATATCCAGTGTTATTTCTTTTTAGTGCCAACTAACCGGAATGGTTGTGCCGGAAATTGCCAGTAGTTCCCATAAAACTAGACTATGTATAATGTGGTCATCAGTACAAGACCACTTGTGGTCTTTTAATTACGAACAACTGATCGAACTTCCCGTTACAGATTCTACAGAACATGTCGATTCTGAAAACCTGACGTAGGCTTTTCTTGCCTGGATGCAACTGGGAATTCGACGCCCAAACGTCTCACTAGAGTAGCGAGTTAACTGTGGCTGGGAGTTTCTGAAGACCTTATAAGTTTATTGTTTCCCGCAGATGCGTTAATCATACAAGGACTTTAGGTGTGCTTTTAAATAGCTGAAGAATCAATCTGGTAGTTTTTGAAGATAAAATGGAATGTAAACGAACAAAAGTCGCATATGAAGTACAAGGGATGTATTTAGCTGGTTAACTAAACAGCAATATATATCTATATATATCCACATATATATACGGCTTTGCAGGATTCAACGCCCTTTAACGATAGGATATAAATTAGCTGGGATTGCGGATTATTGAAAGCGGAGTACAAGCGCGGAATCTCTGGTGCAATCAAGACCAAATATCGGACGCCGGAAACTAAGTGCAAGCAAGGGGAGAACAAATCCGATGGTGCTTTGATGAACCAACAGGGTTACACTCAGCAGGACTGGATGAATTCCACTTTGTCATAACCGTTTATTCAATCCTTCAGGGGCCTTGAACGTATAGAAAATAATGCTTGACAATCAATGGGTGCGACATTTGGTTTGTTTGCATTAACAACCATTATAAAAAATTAACGATATCACGAACCGTGTAATTTTGTGAACAACATTCGAAAGAATATGACTTCATTCAAAATACAAAACATACAACATGATTGGTTCCGTCGGCAAAAGATGAACTGTTCCTCGGTCCATCAGAATTACAACGCATTCATGCATGTCCAACGGGTAAGTTGTTTTGAACCAACGACTGCGGCTGTCACTGGTTTCAAGGACCAACATATGTAGAAGGAAATCCTCTACATTACTGATGAAAAGATAAAAAGAATCTCACTCCGTGAATCACATGCCTAATTGGTTTAAATCTTGTAGATATGCGAATTCGGTTCATCAAACACCGGTGCGTTCTGCTGAGAAACCTGAGTAATGGGATAAGATATCAGGATATTTCTCGTGCGCACATCCAAGATGAGTTTTCATTGCTGTCTTAACAACAGTTTTTGCAGGTGCCTGTATTGAAAACACCATTTGCACCAGACTGTCGGAGTTCAGCTAGTCGTTGCTTTCCTGGGATAGATGAATCTATCAATCTTCCACACTGACATAATTTATGGACAGAGAGAGATCCATGATCCATGCCGTAATATAGTTTAATGGTTCACCTCTTCATGGACAGTCATATGTTTTGAAGGCAGTCACCACTAAATCTATGATGTCACCAGTTTGAACCAAACCATATGGACAGACAATGAGTGGGGCCAAATTTTGTTGGAACCAGTTTAAAATTGTCAATATCATGTTTGTGCCATCTGCTATGGTATCCCACCTTCTAAGGTGTCGTGGGTCATAATGGGCCATTCTTATTTGTTTCGTTTACTAGGTGGGAGCCTTCGTTACTTTTTTCATGGCAAAAATAACTCGATGCGAAGTGATGACACCAATTTCTACCATAAATAGGAATAATTGCAGTGAAACAGTGGAAATAAGCCAGTCATATCGTGAGTGTATAAGATTCATTCGTCAGTGTCCAAGATCAGCTTGCTTCTTGTAAACAGTTGTCTTATTTACGGTGAGAAAATTATTTTGAGACGCTTCGCGTAAGTTCATACGTGTTCAACTAATGCGTAATTCAACGCAAACGTTTGTGAATTAGCCAAATAGATCATTCATTCATCGGTAACATCCTTTCAGGGCTTAACACATCCGAAAAAGCGCGGGGGCTTTGATACTGCCCCCAAGCCCAGACAGGGGCAGTCGAGTTGCTGAGGCTGAGTTCGAACTATGGACCTTCCGGTCAGTAAATTCGTTTCTCAAACGCTGATCTATCTCGAGAACACAAATTGAGTGAAGAAGACTGGTTACAATAGGCGGCGCGCATTAGGGAGTGGTTACGATGTGAACGGGATTATTTTTGCGGCCAGTTACTTACGACTGACCAGTGCATTCCGTTTTTGAGGCATGGCTGTGGTTAGGTAATCTACCTTAAACATCAGTCTAAAAAAAAACACCTTATGACATGACGTACTATGTCGTACTACCATGGCGTATTTTGTAAATTTCACACACTTCACACTCCTCTGCCAAGTCAAGGGTTGGCCACCTCTCTGTTTACACCACTCCGAATTGGGCATGGAAAACAGTACTCTCTTCGGCAAACGATGGTTCGGCATACGTAACACATGTCCCAACCAACTCAGCTTCTGGTGCTTGACACGTTTTTCAATGGAAGTACCCGTTACACAACCGAAAACACGCTTTCTAACTGCCCATCACGGATTCGCTGAAACCAATCCACACGAGGTATGGTTCTGTCGAACATTTAAAACGTCTCAGTTCCGCTGCTCGAATAGGTCAAGTCTCACAGCCATACAACAAAACAGCCCGTACTGTAGCTTGATGCACACGTCCCTTGAGATTCAGGGATAAACCGTTCTGACGCCACTGGTGTCTCAAATTAGCAAACACGGCCCGAGCCTTGCAGATTCGTGCATTCACCTCATCTGTCACACTACAACCAGAACTAATGCAACTTCCAATATACGTACAGCGCTCCACAACTTCGAGTACCTCTCCCTGGATCGTAAGTGGCCTGTACGTCAGTGACTGTACGTCCACAAGCATGACCTTACACTTTGTAGATGCAAAGTGCATACCAAAGGACGGGATGACTTTGGTCAGTTCATCCAAGAATACTTGCGCCTTTTCCTCCTCTTCGAACATGAGAACGATGTCGTCTGCATATTCCAGATCGACAAGGTTTTCTTCACAGGCTACTTGGAACACCAGGTTTTGGAGACCCTCTAGCGTTCGTGTGTGAATACATAGGGTTGAATACACCAACCGGAATTACGACGCCTGTCAACCAGTTGCTGGCGGCAATTTGTAGCATACCATACAAAGAACAAGACGGGATGAATTTTTGTTTATAGTGCCAGACATAACTCGGAACACAATTGGGCTGCATACGATAAATGTTATCTTAAATCGAATGGTTTTCAAGCGCAGAAGAAGAGAATTGGTGCACAACTGCGCGTACAAAACTGAAGATTTCAAGAGCCATTGCCACTTTCAACTATACAAAATTGGTTATGAAAAAGTTTATTCTTGTGATACTGAGTTGTACAGAGGAATATATTTAATGAACGTGAGTTTTTTCCCGTGACCATGAAATCGTACTAATTAGATGTAGTAGATACTGTTTGGAGCAGTGGAAATATGAGTGTTCAATCTTATTGAAACTGCACCTGAATTTCCTGGGTTATAAAAAAGGCTTCCTTTCAGTAAGTGTTTGGAGTGGCTCACTGATTGTTGTCATTTTGCAGGGTCCCACCTCTGACAATTCATGTATATTCTACTACTTACCAATCGTGTATGTGCCTTGAAAGATGTTCGCAGGAGCTGACACACTGGTGCTCAAGTATACGGTAAGTCCCATGCCACTTGATCTAATCGTTTGATCCAGCGGCGTACCACAGTAACTGCCAACTTCATTCAATTGACCGGACGTTCCCTCGTACACCTTCACAACCCCCTGGTTACAGCCAATCTGTATGGATACAAAAGTCATAAAAACAAGGGTGAATAATTTGTCCTTACATAACCATTTATGTACTGAGGGTGACAGTGAGAAGTCAAGAAGCTCATCACTACGTTTTTATCTTACAAGACATTCATATTTTTGACCGCGTTTAATTTTAGCGCCACAACATTCAAGTGACGCCTCAACTAGGTTTCTAAATATCCGGTAGCAAAAAACTAGTAGTGATTTTGTCCTAATTGAGCAAGTACACAATACAGTTCCTGAAAATGTAAACAAAATTAGTTAACTGCTTACAGAAGACTTGCTCGCGGACAAGCAACCATCAGCGTCCATCATTTGGGGTGAACGGTTGCGCCTAGCACCAGTGACAATTTCTGAATCGACTTGCCGTAACACGATATACATCGTACCAGGAGAACTTCGCCGATGCACGCATTCTTATAATAACAAGGGACTCTTGTGACGCGTCTTGAAATCTACTGCTTTTTGCCGTCAGAAGTACATTTTTGGATTACAAAATCCTTCTAGAGTTATCATCTGTACTGTACTGCACTGTGCCCTGAACACCGCATGATATCTTTCCAACTAGACATAGGAGAAAGCTTACTTGAATGTTGGAAATGTGTAAGGACACCGACTGGCCCTCAGTTGGTATGATCTTCCATAGACATCTCAAATAAGGCGTGTGCTCGAAACCTGCTGGTGGGCCCACAAATGAGCCTGATGCCTCCGTTTCAGTAAACTGACACTCAGCTAGAAAAAAGAAAACAAACGGAATCACCACCAAGTAGTGAGCTGTCTACCTCAAATATTAGTAAAATAGAATAGCAGGTGAGAACAAGACTTTGAAGCACTGATAGAACAGCTTGACTTCTAATTGTCGTTCACAATCATATTTTGATTTTACTGCTTGGTTTACTGCTGTCTCTTCTAACTGGCTGACTAAACACTCAAGACACCTAAGAACCGTGTTACTTACTACTAATTCATTACCTATTTATTCATTATCCACCATTTACTAAGAAAGAGTCACCCGGTCTTAGTATCATTTGGAAGCCAGTAGCTAGTGTGGTAATAGCAATTTAACCGTCCTCTCCGTACCAAATAAGTATGATGCCCCTCAAAAATTAGTTCATATTTATCCTATTCGAATTTGAGAATTTTGCATATTCATCCTAAGTGGCACTCTTTTTCCAAGTGGATAAAGGACAGGCTCCACGCCTTACTTGCGTGCTTGTGGAGAACAGGCAATATTTTCCAAACGTTGAACATCTTGGATAGGAGAAGAGGTCAAGCGGTTTGCATGAAAATTCCAAACGGGTCGGATTAGAGCAAGAAATAATGAATAAGAACTAAAAGTGCACGAAATTATTAGCCTGCAAATTGGACAAGCTAACTTGCAACTTGGAAATGCATGCTGGGAATTATTCTGCTTGAAACATGAAGTTACGCCAGATGGGCGATCAAAATCACAAATGAGGATTTGGGATTATTCTTTCATGAAGACCATTTGTTCCCCGTGCTTGGAACCGACGGTCAGAGATGAAGTTCGTAATGGAACATATCGTCAGCTGTTTCACCCAAAACAATTTATCACAGGCAAAGAGGACGCAGCCAACAACTATGCACGTGGCTACTACACTGTTGGTCGCGAGATGCGTAACCTAGTACTTGATAAGTTTCAAAAGTCTGCAGACCAGTATGATTCACTTCAAGGCTTTTGGTTTTACAATGCGCTTGGCGGCGGCACTGGATCTGGTCCGAACGCATCGCTTATCGAACGACTTGTCGTAGATTATGCGAAGAAAACCAAACTGTAATTTCTGATCTACCCATCGCCTCTGATCTCCTCGGATGTGGTAGAGCCGTACTGCTCACTGATGAACACCAAAGTTTAGTTGCTACATACAGATAACTGATTTATGCTCCAGTCAGATTGCGATTGGTCCTACCAGAGCTGTTTGCTTAGGAGTTCAGGTAGCTTAAATCCAGTACGGATTCCAAGATTCTAACCCAAAATGATATTCTGCTTAAACTTGAAGTTAAGCCAGATGGGCGATCAAAATCACAAATGAGGATTTGGGATTATTCTTTCATGAAGACCATTTGTTCCCCGTGCTTGGAACCGACGGTCAGAGATGAAGTTCGTAATGGAACATATCGTCAGCTGTTTCACCCAAAACAATTTATCACAGGCAAAGAGGACGCAGCCAACAACTATGCACGTGGCTACTACACTGTTGGTCGCGAGATGCGTAACCTAGTACTTGATAAGTTTCAAAAGTCTGCAGACCAGTATGATTCACTTCAAGGCTTTTGGTTTTACAATGCGCTTGGCGGCGGCACTGGATCTGGTCCGAACGCATCGCTTATCGAACGACTTGTCGTAGATTATGCGAAGAAAACCAAACTGTAATTTCTGATCTACCCATCGCCTCTGATCTCCTCGGATGTGGTAGAGCCGTACTGCTCACTGATGAACACCAAAGTTTAGTTGCTACATACAGATAACTGATTTATACTCCAGTCAGATTGCGATTGGTCCTACCAGAGCTGTTTGCTTAGGAGTTCAGGTAGCTTAAATCCAGTACGGATTCCAAGATTCTAACCCAAAATGATCGATTTTCCCAGTATTGTATCAAACAATGAATGACAGAACGAAAACGAAAAACAGCAGCAGCATTTTTGGGTAAAAGCAATGATTCGACGATGGTGAGTGAACATATATCAGCTGATCCGCTATTATCCCGTGAACCGGATCTATCAAGGCACCACTGGGATGAAACGTCATTTATCTCTTGTCTGTGTGTCAACCATTTATTTTATTTCCTGTTTTTATTTTTATTCTGTTATTTTTATTTATCATTTTATTTTACCTCCAGCTTGGATATATTTTGCAAAGGTTCATTGAGGCGCTAGCCTTTTTTTTCAGTTTCACACATGATTTGTTACTCACTGGTCTAGGTGAGCATACGATTTAATAATTTCCGCCTGTTTGAGTAAATAGTGGTAAGAAACGGAGGCAAAATACACAAAAAAGGGTCACCGAATCGGAGGATTCTTCCGACTGAGCCATTAAACTAATAATAGATCACCAAAGATCCATGACTTTGAATCGTAAGAGTTCCTTTTTAGAAGAAGAACAACAACAGGTCGACGAACTTGTGTTCGACAAACTTCTTTTTAAGACTTATAGTTGCAGAGGGGAAAACATCAATGTGTAACCGTTTAATCAGCATGTTGAAGCAGAAAGTAGAAAGAATGAAGGCACTGGATACTTGCCAAGGAACGGTTAGTCAAGCCACCAATAAAATGAATTGAGTTTATCAGTGTAGGCAGTGCTATGGTTGTATGTTCAACGCAGGATGTATGTGTGGGGTAAGTGAGCCAGAGAAAGCAAGAGAAAATGTTTTGCTTACGAAGGGATGGGTCGCGAAAATACGTGGCGATACCTCCAGGCATTGTAATTGTGCGGTGCTGTACCGATCTGGGTAGTATTCACCGAGACCAAATTACTGTCACTGAATTAGAAAAAACAGCTGTGTGCATGAACCAAGTATCCAAAAATACGCCAAAACTTACGTGCTTCGTACTCTGCAGTAAACTGGTCTCCAAAACGATATTTCAGGTTGGACAATTTCAGCTCCATTTTGTTTTCGGAGGACAGAAAGACCAACTCCCGTGCGTGTCCACAATAGGCTTTCACCAAACAGCAACTCGTGCTTTCTCCGTTATACACTTCTAACATGTTTCCCTCACAAGTTTCCTTAGCTCTTCCCACCTGAAAGTTCAAGTATAATGAGATTTAAGTGGGTTTAATACACTCAGATTGCAGGTAGTCTCACAACAAATACGTGAATCTTGTTGTATCTCCATCGGAGTGACCTCTGTCTGCAATATTTTGCATCAGTTTAGTGCTCATCTGGACAATTCATGTGGCAACATTGAGCGATTCATCACTTTTCGAGAGAATGCTCTCCAAGTGGTGTCGCACAACAAACGCACTGTGAACAGTTGAGTTCCATCTCGCTAAGAAATTGCGTTGAAATCTATAGTTCAGTTGCAGCTTCCACATTTTCTTAGGATGGCCAAGCTACGTGGCAGAAACATAAACGAATAGTTTAGGAAAGTGGCAACCAGTTGGTTAGCAGTAAAATGAATCACATATCTGAGAGCTTTTTGTAACCTTCCTATATCCCATTCAAGTAAACTCAGTGATTCTTCTTATGTGAGTAGACGGAAGGGCCCGATTGAAATTGTTGTCCTATGCAGGAGGTCCCCCTTGCATGACCAGCACTAGTTACAAGAAGCACGCTGGTGATTCCGAAATAGTGTATTTTGTCCTTCTGAGCTTTACTCTCGCTGTGTTTCTAGTTGGTAGTCAAGGTTAAATACCTGAGCCTATCACCCAGAGTCGATGGCAACATTTCCTATAAGGACAGCGAGGTTGTGGTAGGCTTATTTGGAATTATAACTGCTTTATACATTTGCAGACCATAGATGCCTTCTAAAATCCAGCAGGTGATGATACATTTCCTGACTGCTTTACAGCCGGCAATGTGTGACTGGAACATGTTCAACGTCACCCTCTCGTCCGACGTAGTTTCTGTTGCTTAAAAGGCCCATCAAACAGACTTTGAACTTCAGATAATTTTCAAGAGTAGAACCCAAAAAGTAGGATGCATGTTAAATTGGATCTTGAGGGCACCCTAAATGTTTTTCAAGCAGTCCTGCTCATGTCCAAGTGGAACTCCCACTGAGCAGCACTGGATCGGCCTTACCTGGTTAGGCTAGTTTATTTACGACTTTTCGCTTCTTCTAGGATTCCTAGCTGAGTAAAACACTTTGTAATCCCTTGATTTGCTAGCATGGCTACCTTGTCTTGTCAGCACCAAGCTTTCCAAGTCTTTTTAAAACTTTACCAGTAACTTTTAGAAAACGTGAGTAACGAAAATAATAAGAGAGGTATGTGAAGGTACCCTCCGGTAAGAGAACGACTTCCTTTGTTCCATTTGTAACGTCTGAATCTCCTTTCCAGGAACGCCGCTCAAAACACAATGGTGAAATATATCAGTCTGTGTGGGTCAAATACATTGCTGAACTGACCACAGGCCCATGCGAAATGCAACAGCGAGCAGACATTTTATGCCGCTGCTAACAGCAAGTTTATAAAAATACCGGAATTCAACCTGAATACCCTAGACAGAACCCAATGAACCCACCTAGAGAAACGGTCCAAATTATGTTGGTTTTTCGGTAAACAATATTTTTTCAACTGACCGGTAGAATAGTGAAGACTTTGGACTTAATGTCATTCTGAAATTAGTGAATGTGGGCAGCTTCAAAACGGTATTATTTAAGCTAGGTCTGGTCAGTCGAATAAGGTTTCTTCACAAGTCAGCTGCTAGTGCTTGGTGATCAATAAAACAAAATTGTACCATAAAATTAACTCTATCTTTGGGGTGAAAAAAAGTGAGGAATGAGGTTTGAAACTTGAGAGCGCTGTGATTAGGACCACCAGCTGGCGATTTTTAATGCGCGAACGGTAAAAGCGCTCAGATAATCAGGAAACATGAAATATCAATTAACCATCCAACTAAGGGTCATGTATGGTCACTATGAAAGGAACCGAGTACCTGGGAACAGAAAATACTACGCTATCAGAATTCCAAACCCGACTATTGGCCGGAGAACCATAATCTTGTAGACGGGCAGTTCAGCAGACAGCTGTTCTTTTGAAAGCTTTCTGTTTAAATCACGTATGGAACGTATGAAACACATCTGAACTACAATTCCTGGTAGACATATCGTCCTCAGAATACACACATAAGGTAGCCGTGTAGCACCACTATTTGCACACAAAACTCCATTTGTTGGAGTGCAAAACATTTTTATTCTTTGACGGATTGTTCTAAAACATCGTAATAATGACAGAACATCTGTAGCGGTGGATTAAGGCGCCAGCCAGCGGAGTGATAATGCATCATATCGTGACCAACTATAGGGTGACAAAAACGATCCCAACCGATCAGGGGCCTTCCTTTGACAGCGAAGAGTTTCGTAATTGCTTGCAGAAGCTAGGTATCAGACGGCTAAAGACGGCACCATACCACTCACAAACAAATGGCCTAACCGTACGTAATAATCAAACGATCAAAGAGCGGCTGGCGGCCAAAGGAGGTGACTGAGAAGTGAGCTTGCCAGTGGTGCTGCTAGCTCATCGTAATTCCATACAGCCAACCACAGGGAAGTCCGCGTTTACACATACTTTTTGCTCGGTGGTTATAGATATCACTGCATTCCCCTCCGATGATCTGATCGTGGAAGTAGTCCATATGACTGATGCATGGATACACTCCAATGTGTGGACTTTCCACTTTGGAGATCAGGAATTGGGACAATATGTATTTGAGGCAACAGTTTAGATGCATGCGCGACACCGACCATGCAAGTAGGTCGTGTTGAGTCTTCTATAAATTGTCTCTGCTTTTTGCTTATTTGTGAGAAAATGGCTCTTTGAAGAAGTTGGTCGACTGACATACGTCAACAAGTGACTCAGGCAGCAGAACTTATGAGGTGTGATCTGTCCATCTATCGATTTACATATTCAAAAAGCCTTTCAAGTTATTTCAGCATTATTACTTCGTCGTTTTGACCACACGCGGATAGTGCTGGTCAAATACTGAAATTTTTTTAGCATCCTATCTGACCAGTAATACACAAATGCGTACTCCACTGGCTGCTCTTGGCTATAAATGCTGTCACTAATCGAATAGATAAACACAGTGTCCCGAGAAATAAGCTGTCCTTGAAAATTTGAAAAAATGAAACCTCGGAGGAATCTTAGCAAACGTCTGGATACCCATTTGCTGCAACCCTCTGCCAAGACAAGACCATATTTTCAACCCGTCACCTTTTTTTTAATCTTCCAAAAACAGACGTCACCTACGTCGAGTGGATGCAAAAGTTTTACATCCCATCCACAACTTGGTGTACGCAGGCCGAGGAAAACCCACCTCTAGTCGTGGCTAAAAACCACTTATACAATGTTATTTCTTGTTTAAAGTTACCACTCCATTACGCAGCGCGGCACATTAAAAATATGGTAAAAGTTGTTCAGTCACATACTGCGCCGCTATTAAAGTTCGTCTAACTTACGTAGAATGAGGACAGTCGCAGAATGACAGACTTTTTGTTTTTCGGTTGGATCATCCACGTGCATGTCGTTTGAAAGCCTGGAACTGATAGCCACTCGAACGCACCACTTAGTGCTTGAAATCTGTGACAGCTTTCCACTATAATTTCAAGAAGAATATGTGCGCATTGAAAGATTTTCTGGAAAACGCCAACTAGTACAGTTTGGTAAGGTGGAAAAATAATATTTCAGGCGAAATTCTTCGCTTGGGTGCGAAATTTCGACTTCACGGTTGCGATGATGGAAACGGTTCAACGGAGGAAGTGTCCTGAGTGAAACAAGTTATCCGTATTTACAACAGGAAAGTAGTTGTAATAGCTAGTACTGTCAGGAAGAGGTAACAAGACGTCTGTATTCTGTCGTTTAATTAGGTATGGTAATACTGTTTAACTGATGTAGGCCTGTTGTTGTGACTGCTAAACGGTTGGTTTGGAGAGTAAAACAACAATTAGTTAACAGACTGAAGCATGAACGATGTATGCGATCGGTTGATAAGCATGATATGAAATAAAACAACGTGAATGAGTAGTAGATGGTGCGTAAGTTTAAGGACTAACGGGATTCGCGTGGACAAGACAACGCACGTCACGAAGAATGGACAAAGAGGGGGATACACACAGGTAAGAATAAGTCAGGGGATATTACCTGGTACACTGGTGATCATCACAATTGTCTCCACACGACAGATTATGTTATATTGACAATGATGTTGCCACTGCCTCAAAGTATCAAACATGCTTTATTAAAACAGTGACACACTATAGATCGCCTCTGGTTTTCCAATAGGGACTGAATATACTTGAAATACACTTGGTTAGGTATTTCTAAACCTACTAACTTTGAACAGCCTTCCGCAGAAAGAAGAAAACATGTGAGAAGTCGCCAATCAAAATTTTGTTCTCAGAACTGCTGAACTGGAAGATAATGGTTCCCCCTGTTGGCCAATAAGGGTTAATGACTGCTTGCTAGCTATTTGTTGTCTTGTCTTATCACGTTATACGGCCTGCTCAGAGGTCACGGTTTCTAACCAACCCAAGGATTTGTGACGTACCCAGTAATCATGGTCACTGGTTAAAATGAAACAGTTGGGTTGTCATGCTGAATTTATCCCGTTTGTTTAACTACGTTTTAGACAATTTATCTAACCAGCGTTCGCCCGAAAGGTTGAGGATATATTTGTACATTGGTCCCTGTTTTGTTTAAACATGGCATCTGACCTTATCTTGTTTAAAGCGCAGTATTTTCAGATCTTTCAAGGTCAAAAATTTATTGTGGTAAGATCTCAATATAATGAGCAGTATTTGCGGTCTGCGATTGCTTTTCTACAGAGAAAAATTATCATCTTCATGGTCGATCGTAAGCAGTGATTAGGTGTATTTATTTTCGGTTAGAAACCACTTCAAGTAGGAACTACTCCCTTAAAAAGGGTCACAATTTCAGATTCAACTTTGTGCGCACCATATCTGAGTTAGTTACATCTTTCTGAGAGAAGGGCTTGTCCCATTGCTCTTCACAGTTTGAGTCCGAAGGATTGTTGTAGTTATAAGGTAATTTTTCGTAGGGTTACCAACACTCCTTGGAAGATCAATTGGAGGAATATTGGTCAAACGATAGGTGACGAGTTAAATATGACTGGACCTACACAGGGCTTTTGACACCTCATAAAAAGTCAGCGCACTTAAATCTTAGTTACCAAAATCCAAGAACGCATCAAGTTGAGTTAATTTATTTCTATTGACAGGTGTGTCCCACAGCACACGGAAGACCCAAAAGTGAAAATTCCGAGCAACGTAGTAAGAATGTGACTTTCGAATGAGCAAAAACACAAGATGGCCAAAATTATTAATTCCCACTCAAAAGTACTCGATTATCTTCCTGCTCAGTTAACTGTCTATCTATTCATCTATCAATCAATCAATCAATCATTCTATCTATCTATCTATCTATCTATCTATCAATCTAATCTATCTATCTATCTATCTATCTAATCTATCTATCTATCTATCTATCTAATCTATCTATCTATCTATCTATCTAATCTATCTATCTATCTATCTATCTAATCTATCTATCTATCTATCTATCTAATCTATCTATCTATCTATCTATCTAATCTATCTATCTATCTATCTATCTAATCTATCTATCTATCTATCTATCTAATCTATCTATCTATCTATCTATCTAATCTATCTATCTATCTATCTATCTACCTATCTATCTATCTATCTATCTATCTAACTACCTATCTATCTTTGTATGTATGTATGTATGTATGTATGTTTGTATGTATGTATGTATGTATGTATGTTTGTATGTATGTATGTATGTATGTATGTTTGTATGTATGTATGTATGTATGTATGTTTGTATGTATGTATGTATGTATGTATGTTTGTATGTATGTATGTATGTATGTATGTCTATATATCCAATATCTATCTATCTATTTATCTAGGAGAATACATAATTATTTCGTTTTATAGCTTTGCTCTGGTGAACAGAGACTGTTGAAGAGACTAAAGATTACAGCCACTGAAACCTGTTCAATAATCTATGCCGAACCGCTATGTGCGTGCTGGTGGGAACTAGTTCATCTTACACTGACAGGTATTTGATAAAAACGGAAAGTACTTAGTACGAATGCATCTGTTATGCATATGTTATGTGTTGACCAGGTATGTCGGCTTTGCCGATCCAAGGTGCATTTTTTTGTCTATGCACTCTGTATAGTTGATTCACATTTCGGACGTATTCACTAATTATCCCAAGGTGTAAAATTCCTTCGTAGTCTTTTGAAAACACTGACAGGTTAGAACAAAATCTGTGTCATGAGAAACTATTTTTGGGTTTCATTGACTTCAATAAAACTGAAATTTTCTACTTGTTTGAAAAGTTCATGAAACTGCAGTGCGAGCAAACGATCAACAGTGTACAACACAGAAACAGTACCTCTGACGTCATGGTAATGGCCAGTTGCGCGGATAAAATAATTTTATCTATAAGTCTTCCCAGTGTAGAGCGATCCGCATAAAAGTAAACTTGCATGATTCATAACTCGCTTCGACTTGTTGAGATGCGACCATCGGATTCGCACGGACATGAATAGTCATATCTCCAGCCGACTTTATTGACCGGGGAAAAATGTTTCCACACATTTTCTGAAGAATCGGGCTATCGACATGGCTTCCATCGTACACTTGTAAGAAGCCATTTGCACATCCATCCTCTTGATTACCCACCTGTCGTTTAGGTGAGAAGGTTTTGGAACAGAAAGTGAGCAGATGTAGCTTGAATAATTACTTTGTGAAAAAAATCACAAGATTCTTGAATCACTTCCATAGTTCAAATAAAGCATTGCCCAACAGATTTACGCAATCCACCCACGTAGGTCACAATAATGAGAGGCATCTATATCTGGAAAGCAATCTTACACAGTTTTACTGTCTTGAATCACGGTGCATCGAAATGAATCAACGGAATCCCCCAATGTGAGTCCTGACAACATTTGCGGTTGCCAAGTTTCCCAAACCTCACAACGTAAGCTTGTTTTCTTGTTATGCACACAAACAAAACAGACACCTGAATGTTAAAGGAAGGATCGAAGCTTTTATGATACCAATGAGGCCTGTTGATGAACCGTAGCTTGCAGTTTGTTCTAACTCTGAGCAAGCCCTAGCTTTCATAGAGATTTAAATGTCACTGTCACTCAGTGGATGCGACAGCATGTAGTTCCACCAACCAAAAAGTTATTCAAAGATGAGTGCCAAGTCATTTTTATCCTTTGTGTATACTTGCCTGGAAACATCACAAACGAGAGATTCAGATGGGTTCCAGGCGAGTCTCTCCAGAAAGGAAACTAGTTTGCAAATGTGTGTATTTTGCTAATTTCGTGCAATTTGACTTCAAGTAGAACATAAAGTGGACGGAAACTCGGGGACTGCGCCTACCTCATGAGCCCAAAGAAGGGCGAAACCGGTCGTGGGCTGTCGACCAAATTTCCAGAAACCTTATGAGTAGTGCATTATGCAGTTGTGGTTTTGGTTTTTTTATAGTTTTTATTTACAGTAGGCTTGCACATACAGTCCTTCTGGAATACTATGACTATTCAGGTTAGTACACATTTAGAGTTATCACGGCGATGCATATGCTTGGCCGGGCTTGAATTCCGGGATGGGAGCCATGTGTAAGTTGTCATCATCACACAGAAGCACGTTAGACAAACTAGCTACATCACAGCCGCCGCTTCAACTAAAAGATAATGCTCAGAGCTCTGCCTCTTCAGACATCGTGTTTAGGCAATTCGCGTGTAAACTTGCTTAGCGCTGATAATGCACCAAACGCGTACGCTATTTTTCCCGGATTCCAATCTCGACTGTGCCGTAGACATGCACTCTCAATGAAGTCAAAGGAGTTCTACCGCCTTTCTTCATAGGTTGGGGCCTACAAGGGAAAACAGTCGTGGAGTGGAGTCGGTGGAAACCCCTTTCGTTTGCGCTAGTTGTTCAAAACCATGCCCAAAGAGAGAATAAAATTACCCAATGATATTTGGTATCCATTTGCTTTGAATTTGTTTTGGACTAGATCCAAAGGTTTTGCAGTTCAAAATCTCTTCTTCACCTAAGCAAATTTTTTCTGTGTGATGATTTGAGGTCGATTGTGTGTGTGCCAAGTAACGTCATTGTAAACAATTGGAGGAGGAGTATTAGACTTTTTTAATTTTGCCAAACAGTTCCTTTAAACAAAATTCATGAGGTACCCAGAGAGCAGTTTTATTGATGCGAGTTTAATTATATCCTCTGTGAGGCCGCCAACAGGCAAGATAATTCCACTCATTCAGTCACCTTCTACACTTGAGTGTTCGCTGTCAGCAAAAGCCTAATGCAAAAACCCCTCTTTTAAACATGTGCCACCACTAAGGAAAAGACAAAGGATCTACTTCTTCCCTTGGTCGCTTTCACGTGGAGTCCTGTCGCTTTCAATTATCCCGACTATTCGCATGCTCACTACAATTTGCCAGATCACTCCACCTTGCTTCTTCACTCACGTTTACCTCCATTCTGCTTTTCGCAACGTCTAACAATTGTTCTATTTAGGAATACAGAACAACTGTGCTTGAAGTAAGAGTAACAAAAACCAGTTTGAAACTTTTTTCTCAGTCAGCTTGTTTAAAAGAACTATAGCCACTGAAATATGTTCGAAATGAGGGTGCTTACAGCGCGAGTACGTGTCCGCATCGTAAACAACGAGTGTGATCTCGGTGACCTTGTGAGTTTCACAGTCGAAATAAGAAGCTTTTGTTGGAAAAATCAAACTTTTCACAAGGAAGTCCCAAGGAAGTCCAGGCACAGGATATCCCTTTCTGACTTACTACCAACCGAACCACCGTTTGTTCAGAAAGTCCAAGGCAAATGTCATGAAGACTGCCGATAGACTTTCCTTCTTTAGCGGTGAGATATTACCAACTATGCTCAACCTAACTTGATGAAAATTCAGTTGCAACTAAAACAATCGCATAGACCTTTGAAACATGCTTCTCTAGATTAAGCTAAGATGTAGGAAAAGCGAATCGCGATATCTATCTATTCACAACTAATGTCGCTTTTGATACCTGTTTTTGGAACTTTGAGAAAGGTTGTCATTCACGTACTATATTCCACACAGTTATCGGAAATATTATCCATCCGAAATGACCACAGAGGAACTGTTTTGATCTTCAATATATAGGGCAACTTCGGCGAACTACTATATACGGGTATCCTTGAATCTCTGTCTCACCGACCGAAGCCAACTTACAATGCTACATACAGGCAAGAGTGAATTGCCGTTTTCCAGTCTTGCGTACCATCCTCATGTGTAGTTACTCATACGTCGAAGGACCTTTGACTTTAGGATTTGTCCTAATATCTCCAATAAATGGTTCTATGGAGAAATGTGACTCACCAGCATTTTCTGGAACCTCAAATCAATGGGTGCCTCTTCATCTGCATGCAGCTTCAAAATACATTCGGTTTCTTGTATTTCTCCGTTGGGCCAACTTATCTCTCCAGAGCTCACGGGAATTTCGTGAATGCAGTTTGCTATAAGGATATGGTATAGTGGCATGTATTAAATTTGCAATGGGGAATGTCACTCACAGGTTTGGAATTACCAACAATTACATGTGGGTGGATCTCAGGGACTCAAATCAGGAACAAAAACACTGAGACACTGAAGGCCGACGCTCTCGTCTATCGGCATGCAGCTGTTATTCGGGACTCATTATGATGTAGGATCGCTAATTCAGGTAGGCAAACCAATTGCCCATGCACTGTAACACTACACAAACTTAATTAGACAATTGTAGTCTTTTTTCGACTCTCGAATGGACGGGAAGAATAGATTTATGAATGCTCATGTATCTAGTTCCGGAGAACATAGATTTCCTTCACTAACCATTTAGGGTGGATGAGGAGCAATCTTCGTAGAAATCAACGTTGTACCACCTGTAAGACGTAGTAGAGGAAAGTACAAAGTGCCATCTTGCAACTTCCCTTTGACTTCCTCCTGAACGTTCCGTCATATTTGCAAAATGACTTTGACTTTATTCCACAGGATTACAATATTCAGGCTACTTTTTGACCTCGAGTGTCCCAACAGATTTAGAAGCTTTCACAAAGGATCACCTCTAAAATGGGTACAAATTCAGCCGATGTCGAACGTGCTCTACAGGATGCACGGTGTTGTCCCTACTTGAAAAACAGAACAGATTGAAGTTATTGCTCTCAGACAACGTGTTGAACCGGCTTGAGGAATTTCGACAAATGGGCAGTAATATCGTCTTTTTCCTCTTCAGTTAATGGTAGAGGGCTGTGTCCTGTTCTGCATTACATTCTTTCTGTAGAACCTTTTCAAAATGGACAAAGACTTCTCGAAGGAATCTACGAGTGTAAGGGTAAGTGACTCCGCTAGCTATCAGCTGGCATACTCGGCAATGTTGCTACCACATCTACCAACAAAACAAACACACAGTAGCACCAAAAATCTGATTAAATATCTCGACTTTTTGTTCTCAAGTATGCTTGTCATCGGAAGTGCTCGTTAGACTAAGGTGCAAAGGGGTCCAAACTTCCAAATATTGGCCAACATTTGGAAAACAAATCATTGAGTCATGGGTAACTGATCGGTGGCGTAAATAACTCTGTTATAACTCTGCCTACTTGTCGGTCAGTCCGACTGCTGGGAGAACTCCTTTGGCCTAATGGGCCAATGGGAAGTCGTTTACAGGAGGATAGTTTTACTGGAAAAAGCGATTAATGTTAAATGGATTGTACTATTGAAAGGGCAGGTTAACGAAACGGAAATTCCCCGCTGTATATTAACCTGAAGCCGGCAAAGATATTTGGAAAAATTTTCTAGATAACGAAATAGATGATAGCAGATGTACAAATTGAGCGAGCGATATGAAATGATTCCTCTATAGAATATATTTACTTGGCAAAGCGTATGCAATAATGACTGGTATTTTTTAAAAGTCACCCAAGAGTCACCAAAATACTGTTTTCCATACATAATCCAACAAGTACAATAATTTCGAACAAAGGTTGCTTATCTGAAAGAATTGTATAGTGCTTTGCTACCTTTGTGCCCTTGTTACCAGTAGTGTAACACGCGGATGCGTGAAGTTCCGCCGTTTATGCTGTACAATAAACAAAAACTCACATGACGTGTGGTGAGCCACAAATCGATCACTTGTAAAGACTTCTGTACGATGCAGGTGAATCAACATATGTGGACCCGATGAAGCAATCGGAATAGGTTGTATAGTCCCGCAGTACTTTCCGAGTAAGTTGGCCCCAGCCGTCTCACCATCGTACACATTCACATAATTCCTTTCGCAATCTGCAATAACCCCTCCAAGCTGAACGAAAAAAAATATCAGGCAATTTGTTTCTGTTTCTTTTACCAATCAGGCGACGACAAACTGACTAATATGGTAATATAGAAATAGCCCTGCCAAAAGATACTATTTCGAAGTAAAACCAATCTCTCGAAATGGTCCCAGCAATATTCTGTGTAATCCTCTGAGCTGAGCCAAAAATGCAAGTGTAAGCAAATGGGATCGGTTTATAGGCACTTGAGTTTGTGTTGACCCCAGAAAATAAAAGTTCTGCACCGGATCGCATGGAAAATTCATGATAACTCAAATAACCAGGGATTGATGCGGTACAGACTCAACCACAGATTTGCGAACACTGTGTCTCAACGACAAGGTTTTGTTGATATTTTTTATGTGCTTTTGCATGACACCATTGTACGAGACCGGAAGTACGCTATTGCCGTAGCAGTATACTTAAGAGTTTCCAGAGGCTGGGTTCAAATTGAGCCCTGACATCAACCTGTAAAAACATTTGGGCTAGAAAAACAAATAATTTATTCCGGGGAATCCATTTAGCACGTTTGTCAATGTCGAGAATAGCACACCTTGTCCGAGTCTGGCAATAATTGCGTCAACCTTGTTTAGTGAAACTGTAGATGATGTCGTCCTTAAAAATTACTGAAATGGTAAAAAAAGTTGACAGCACTCACTGAAATCCAATGGAATTTTAATATAACTCGCTTCCCATCCATCGGCTTCAGGATCCACTTAGCGTCTAGTACCGGAATCTTGTCTTTGCTTCCAATAAAACTGATGTCTCCAGTTGGAACTGATATAGTGCGTTGGAAATTTTCTGTCCAATAGTGAGTAGAAAACAATGACAAAGTGTAGACAAGAGAAGGAGCGCACAAGTTAAAAGTTGAGTGGGTCGGAGTTGGTATCCTCGAAGGTCATATAGCAATTGATTTCCAAACGTTCTGTCTCCACGAAAAAGGTCAGTGCGTTTGATGTCTTATGTGTGCTGATGTTTGTTCTTTGACAATAAAATATCTGCTAGCCAACTGTTAATCTTGGTATGAAGATAAACTGTCACGTGAACAAAGTCAGTTAACGCATCTGAGCCATCATTATTCTGATATACCGCTAGCACACGAGTTTGATCAAGAGCGGAACAACGGGAGCTCACTCTTCTCAACCGTATGCTTGTTCACTACTATTCTTTTGCATCTTAATTGCAGATTGTTTTGTGTGCACTAACAACTCACCATAGAATTCTGTAGATGGTTGGGGGGTTCTAGGATTCGCTTCCACGTCACTGCTAGTTGAAAAGCTGTCAACCTGTCGCGGTGCCATTATTCCGATATGCCGCCAAGAAAACGTGGTAGCACCAAACACATTTACCTCCTACCAAAGTTTGTGGAATACGAATGAGTTCCTGGCCTTTGGCTTGCTGAACCAAATTCATATAAATTTCATTCCACTAACTAACGTCCTCGTTGTGCACTAGCGGTATTCTTCAAACCAGATTTTCGTGAACACAATTTACCCAACTCAGTCTTTTGTGGGGTTCTTTTAGGGCTTCGTTTTAACTCGTTCAATTACTATTTGCGCGTTAAATGAAGCCCCGTAAATTTTGCTTAGTAGATTAGAATTATTGAATTAATCCCATCTACGTGCAAACTCCGTTTCAGAGAAATGTACAGAAAGCTCCTGCGGAAATGAATTATTATAGTAGAGTTTTGATTCACGATGCAGTCACTTCACTTTAACCCTAGAGAGGGGTCATAGGAGTGTCAGTTTGGTGACCTGTAATTCTGTGAATTCACATATTTGTTGTATATCTTTCGGAATACCAACCAAGAACACAACGTGCCATCACTTTGAGTTCATTTGAATTTGTGCGTCCACCTTAGATTTGCTAAGGGCTTGTCTGCAAACGTACAGAATGCATTTATTTCAACAGTGTCCGCAGAGTAGAACTCTTTAACAAGCATTGCACGACGGGGTCAAATTTGTCGTACATCACCCCAATGGAGACATCTGGTTGATTCCACTTGGGATCTACTACCTGCGCTTGTCAGACGCAATTAGCTACGCTCTGCCAGAGACGTGACATCAGTAGTGGGGTAAACTTCCGTCCTATTCTATTCTATTTTGATCCGGCTTTTATCAAGCTGAAGGTGGTGGGTGGTATTCTACTTTGTGGCATGTGCTTCAAATCGCAAGTTTCTGGAGCGAATCAGTCTCTACATAAATTACCCATCGCTTGTCAAACTACATTCAGGACAGCGGCCCGCGCTCATGACAATTTATCCCACAAACTTGATTCGATTGCTCACCAAGGTATGTGATATGTCTGGGTCAAAAAACTCACGCCTTCTTAAACCGATCCCTTGAGACCGCAGTTTAGGCTGGGCCGACAAACTGGGAAAGCTGCTTTCAACAGGGCAGACAGCCTTCGGATTATTGAATTTAAAATTTGCAATACGTGTTCAAAACAAGAGAACCCGAGAATGAAGACATGTCACAAATTCACGATCCAACCGAAGCGTCGCGTAAAGGAATGTCTGCAAGTGTTTTTTAGCAAATAAAGAATGTGCAGTCTGATTTCAAGAAGCCTGCATATAGACGTTTGCTAGAACTTACTGTTAGTGCGTTTTGTTCCTGTGAAAAAGTACGGAAATGAAATAGTAATATGACATATATGAGACAAATTTGTGAGCAAGTTATTCAATGCGTTGTTTCCCGGACGTTTTGGCTGTGGAGACTGCGTTAACATCAGTCAGCCTCTTATGGCACGGTGGACGGCGAAGCACATGTATAGTGAACGCTCGGGGTTCCAAATGCATTCAGTAAACAAACGCCTCAACTTGGGCAACGTGTGCCTAGGAGGACAGCTACTCAGAATCAGGTTGCAGATATTCATGGGCTTTAAAAATTCTATTGCCTATCGCGGCATCCACAGCAACCACAAACAGTTGTTGCTTGTTTTAAAAAAGTTTGTTTGGCGCAGCAGAGATTCTGCCAAAATTGAGTAAAATAACACCCAGTGAACTTTTGAGCAGTTAATGAAAGTTGGTAAATTACTCGGGACTGTGCTTGCAACATAGTGAAAAAAGGACTAAGAAAAAGTTAGCCCAACAAGTTTTGCTTGCGTCAGAACCACTAACCATGCTTTTTGCCCAAGTCGACATAGAGATTACTACAATGTACCAGTCACGACAAAACACAGATGCCATCCGCCGATAAACTTACCGATGGCTACCTTCTCTAAATGAAATTCATCTGAATGTGGGAGTGGAAGCAAAATGTACGAGCTGATTAAGTCAAGAAATCAGTACAAATATCGGTGTAAAGCACCAGATTTGATGTCTTTAAGCATACAACATAAAGAAGCAACGAAATCTGCATATCAAGGACAACCTCTAACGAGTTGTCACGGCTTTGCTACACCCGCAGTTAGCTTACAGGAATAGATCGCTCCTTCTTAGAATAAATCCACATGACGGAATATTCGGATTATATTAGAGGTTTACAAAGCCGTGCGCATTGTTAGAGTGAGAAGACGCTTCGTCAAACACATCATCGAAAAGTTTTCCGAAATGCCGCTATCACTTTTTCGTTTCCGATCTAGGTTGAAATGTATGTACCATAAGGGAGCATATTTTCAAAAAAGGACGTTTTGTCAACCAAATCAACCAGCTCATTGCGTTAACTCGAAGCATAGAAGTGTCCTGATTTTACAAAATCTCATCAGTTGCAGCAGATACGGTGCAAACAAACAATTCTTATGTAGCCCTTGTATCACCAGTGTATTTTTGATATCTTAGCCAGTTGCAGTTGGTACGTCGTCTTTACGCACAACAATAAGCAGAGACGTGAAGGCGTCAGTTGGCTTGCTTTGCAAACATTTGTGTAAATTCGACCGCAGTTATTGTGACACCATTTTACGATTACCAATATCCCATAGTAATTTGGTAAACAGCATTTAAAAAACAGTAAACAATCACGATGTGGCCACCCAGGTGAATACCTTATTATGGGCCACCATCGAGTCTTACTAAGAATTATCTACTTAAAAACTTTGCTAGTCCCCTGGTAGCAAAGATAACAACTAGTACCTTGATTGCACAAGATGCCATGCTATGTAACGAAGAGACGCGGAAATTCCGGTCGCGAAAATTGGTGGCCATTTATTGCCAGATATAGAAGATCATGATGATATCATACCAACAGTGGGAACAACATAAACAATAAACCTGTGTAAATTCTAAAATCTGTGACTGAACACGGGCATGATCGATTGCTACAAGGGCGACTGAACCTAAACAGTTGACGTGACAATTCAAGGTTAGTGTCAGACAATCATTGTATGTTAAAACAACCAACAAGTACAGCGTTATATCGAAATAAAGCTCTGGCAGATTTCGGAGTTAGCTGCAAACGGCATCGACAAAGGCAAAAAATAAAGGATGTAAACGGAACGGATAATGTGTCGAACATTCAGACAAAAGAGCCGATCTATATGGCCACCATTCAGGGACATGAAAATAGTGGATCATTGGTGAGCCTGCTTTCGCCCATCGTAAAAGCATCATTTTGGTGTGCTACTAAGCGCAAAGGAACAGAAATAGTATGCTTGGTGTATTGAGCTACTGTCATACAGTTTCATTCCAGTTAATATTGCGGGTAACTTGTTTGTAATGACTACAGGTTAGTGTGTCTTCTAGTCACCGCTCACTGCACGAGGCACCCGAAGATGCGACTTTGAATTTTGGGCAGCCGAAACTTACTAGCATCAGGTCTGATTTACCGAGAAACTTATATTGGTAGCTTGCAAACTGCGCATAGAAATGTTTAAAAAATCCCCAGAACTATGCAAATCATACATGCTTGTTCAACTCACCTGGGGCGCAAGTGGCTTTGAACATATTGTGCGTGTTTTCGGCATTTGTGTCCAGAAACAGGGTCAAATGTTTCTGTTCGAACGTAGTGTCCCACGATGTCTTGCTTCCACAAAACTCAGTGATATGAGCCAATTCACCGGACACCTCACCGAATATGTGCAAGCCATTGGTTTTGCAGTTAGTGGTACTTCCATCAACCTACAATGCGAGCGGAGGAATTGCTTCAAGTTTCTGCATTAGAAGTGAAGTGAGTATATGAAGAAACTTAGACCACAAAATTAAGTGCAGAGTTTGGGCCGATAGCTGTTACGTTCGAGATCTTGTGTGACTAAAAACGTTTAGATGACTGAATGACAAATTTGCGCATGTGGTTCCATGTGCAATTCTCATGTGTTTTGACTACTTTGCTGACATCAATGCAAGGAATAGTTATTTATTTGCCCAAATCCCATCCCCAATGCATAATGATCCATCATCAAAGATGGATAAATCAGTGTTGATAGTGGTGCTTTACCTGCCGGGAGATGCTAGGCTTTTCATTAATTTAGTCAACATGATCTGCACTTTGCCTTTGTTTCAGAAACGACACTGATACGCTCGGTGTACTTCAGACCCACAGGCTCCCCACCAAAAGTAATTCCTTCCAGGTTTAGATTAAAGAGAACAGGTCGAAAAGAATATAGACAGTGAGTAAATTCCTGTGCATGCGTTCGGGACCGGAGGTAGAGAGCCTCGCAAATCCGTTGACTGAGTAGTTTCGTCGAAACTCCCGTATCCATGCGACGATGAAGACGATAAATCGGGGGGATATCAGTGATGATGAGGATAATATTGAAAATGACCAGGATGACGATAATGAGCGCTATCTGAGTACACTGGAACACAGCCATCTGCGCTCCATTAAATCATGTTTAAACTGCCATTTTGGTATATACGACAAAAAGATCCCTGTTAAAATTGATCAGATGTGACGGCACGCACATTCGCACATCGTCACTATTCACTGGGTATACGGAAGGTAATTGTTGCTCTGAGCACAAGGGTCTTCCCCAAATGCCCCAAAATACTTTGAAACATACCACCGAGTAGAATTCATTCATAACAGGTTAAGTGGGCATTTTTGCCGCAGACCCCAAAACTCAATTTTCCCCTGATATATTCACCTATATTCTAAAGCAGAGGTTAAACTTACATTGAATTCCTGAAATTGCAACCGCAACTGGAATTTATCCGGTACCCTAATTCTCCAAAGACATTTGAGGGGTAGGTCCGTCTCAAATCCAACAGGCGGAGAGGTGAAATATTCACAGTCATTACTGAGATCAAACTGACAGGCAGCTGTAGCAATGGAAAGAGCATGAAATCTTTAGGTAGAGCAACGTGCCGACAAATGATAAACGTCACATCAAGAATAAGACTCGGTTTCCTTCAAATTCCTCAACAGTCAGAATGGCACGCACTTATCAGCTGTGATGCGAAATTAGGGTAGCACGCACAGAGTGTGTCACATTGATCTATGGTGCATGACTGCAACCGAAGTACTTCACTTAACAAACAGATAAACAGTCTATGAATTGGGTCACTCCGAATTGAATTCCACAGTCATCGGACTAAACAGTGTAGCGCGCGTAAACGATTCCCGTAAGAGTATAACTTGCGCAGCCGTTGATGACCACGTAAAGGATGGTACTGCGGCTCTAATGTGAAACTTGTATAAAACATATGAACATATATATGAACACAGAGTGACCACATCTGTGCATGCAGGCGCTGTTTTCAGCGAAAGACTACTTAGCAATTTGAAGTTCGGCTTCGCACGTTTTTGAAAATTGACGTCTCGGAGCAAACAATAATCATGGATAATTCGAGACGAACAGAAGATAATTCATCGGTGGTATACGCTCAATGGAATATCAACCCCTCACCTTGTCGACAGTGAGCTCCATGTGAAAACATTTGCCCTCAACAATGACAAATGGACAAATGGGTTGCATCATACAACAAACAAACCTCGGCAGGCTAGAAGCACTCTCGAACCGCCTCGTTCCTGCAGACTGATAACACGACGATCGTGGGAATTCTGGAAGTACACCATAAAATCCCCGTACTACTCCGCCTGATGCGGCCTCCTCCACATATCGAACTCACTCAGGCTTTTCGAATGTGTGATCACTTTGCAAAATCCACGAGCAAACTAACAAGTAGGAAAAATTCCATATCTGTTCATTCGTTTTGCGTTTTACATTACTGCGAAATGTGAAGACGATAACCCAAACTGTGATTACACAGTACAATGAGGATGGTAATTGCCCGTAGCCAGTGAACACTTACAGCAAGTTACAGCTGACCGGAACAGTTATTCGCGCTCGTACTGAGAGTGTTCTGTTTCAGAGCAGCTGGGATGATAATCAACACATAGAACTCGATGTATTTCTCGGTACACCAGACTCCGGGTGTCACATCAGTAAACGTGGGGAATCAAGGACGGGTTTCTCAAAAGCTTCCCTACTTTCCTTCCTTACGAAGTCTGTACTAACATAACGAATCTTCTCTTAGTCCGCAGATTATTTCCCATTCGAAAGGATGTAGAAGATGCCACAAGGCGTTTGAAATACTCCTATTAATACTAGACTACTCAAATGAAACCCATTCCAGATCAGGACAGAGGCGCGTTCCAGTTGGAAGTTCTTGTGGTATGAATTTCCGAGGTCTGGATGTCTGGGACCGTTGACATAATTTGAATGCACGACATTCGGTTTTCTCAGACGAAATACGTGAACCCTGAATGACCCACGGCACACTAAACAGTACACTTTCAGTGCACCTGGTATTCATTGTTGTGCGCTGTAATTGCCATTACAATTACGAAATTCAACCGCTTTTCCCCGCTCCGGTTTGTCTCCAATTTTCTAAACTGCACGCACCCACAAGTTGCCATTTTCCATCTGCGGCCTTCCACGCGAATTCACGACGCGCGAATGCAGCAGAAAGCCTCATGTGCAAACCAAACGCAGCTGAATGTCATTTGCTATAATCAAATGTTTCATGAAAATCTGAGATTATACTGGTTGTGTGAAGATTTTCAGGATGTCGGATTTGGTATGGGTGAGTAGCAGCGAAAGTATTGGAGGATCATGCACGGTAAGTATTCTCATTGGCCACTAACTTTGCAGACTTGCTCTGGAGAACCTCGGTTCTCTTCGCCTTTGTTTTGCATCCTTCCTGATTCGCACTCTATATCCACTCTATATTCAAATCCGAAAAATAATCAAAATGACGGTTCAGCGAAAATGCGTTTCACCATGCTATGGTAAAACACTCATGCGAGTCTGCTCACTAAATGCGATGTTGTTTTCAACGTAGTCATATGCTATCACCGACGACGGACAGTTTGCAAACGGGGATTTCGAAGAGCCATCCCGAACCTAGTTTTCGAAGAGTCCTTTCCCCCACGTCGAATGAGACTTGATCAGCTTCATGGTCATACGTTTTTCACAAGAGTGAATTACCTATTGGACGTCCACTAAATTCGTTTTCATCCTGCAAAGTAAACTACTTTGGTTTGTTCCGGTATTACGGAATTCGAGAATGTCTTGGAATAAATTCCTAATGCATCACAATTTGATACTGCATTTGATAGGTCACGAAAGAACCACCCGCATGTGAACAACACATTGGCCGCCTGAGTGGGTAGGTTCGGAAGTGGACACGAGTTTCGAGCTTTGCATTCGTCTTTCTGTCACTCATCTTCAACCATTCTGGTAAATGTGGCCAAATAAGTCTCCAAAAGTGGCCGAAAATCTCTCTTTGCACTACAAAATGTAATGATTGACAAAGTCAAAATCGCTTTGAGTTCACCCATGTTCAAAGTATAAAATGAGCAAGGCCTCAGTAAGTTGTATCGAATAAAGTGTAAAGTTAGCTGGACCAATCAGATTTTATGCAGAAAAGTAACCAATCAGATACCGAAGGACGATGACCGATTAATATGTAAGAGACGTCTCTGTAGGAATTTTCATCTGGACAGGGGAAACGCTAGATATGACGTGGTCGGCAATAATTATACCATGTATATCTGTACATCTACAAATCACCTCGAAAAGGAGGTTCTTTGCTGAAGGTCGTGGGGAAATTTGCTCTCTAAATAAATAATGCGGGAATTTTTGGAAAAGGAAGGTGGTTAACAGCTCTATAAAAATAGGTTAATTTCTGGACAAAATTTTATTGCAGTATAAAGGCACCTCCCTAGCCGAGGCTTTTCATGATTTATTCCGGTACGTATTAAAATTCCTGGCATCTGCCTCTGCAAGAGCTTGTCAATAGTTTCATAGCTGTCTTTTTTTCTGGCTCCCAGAATTCCTATCTCTAGGATGAAATCCCTGGGACGAAAAGCCTCTCCAGGCTGAATGGGTCCCACACATAATGGGCAGGAGAGAGTTACATGTAGAATGCTCCATCCAAGGGGCTGGCAAGAGAGTAGTTGAAGTCGTCCAGCCGTAGTACCCCTTCACCTAAGTGCCATGCCACCCGAAGGAAGCCCGAGTGACGGGATCCTCTCAAGTTGCCCAAGTCTAGGCAGGGGAAGTCGAGAGGCAGAGATTGAGTTAGAACCGGTCAGTAAATATGAACTCTAACAAGTGAGCTTTCCTGTCAGTAAACTACTATAATAGTTAAGAGAGAGCTTAATGTTAAGTGAGGGTCACGGGTGGACTGGGTACCAGTGAGGCGATGACTAGCTTACCAGGCGGAGTGGCATCCTTTGCGGGGTATCCAAGGTACGCATACATGAGATGCTACTTTTGCGCACCTTAGTGACAAGCGGTTTCTGCTAACCGTGAATTCTTTTCCCAAATTTTTAAACTTTCAATGTTGCTGTACCTTAAATTCAGTCAGATTCCTACTCAGTGTTAGCCGTAAATCCTGGATCACATGTCTTTACTAATCCGATGCAGTGTCTAAATTACCGGAAACAGTCTTTATGCAAAAGAAGTAGAAAACTGCCCGGTTGATGTCCGTTGCATTTTGATGCCCCCCCCTCACATGATCGATCATTATCGGATTAATCCTTTTCACAAATGAGAAGCCTATTTCATTCGAACCTCGTATGTGTCGTTTGATCTCGCCTAGATCAAGCACCCGAACAAAAGTAGAACTGCATCCGAGATGAAAAGTTTTGCAACTGTGAATTTTTCAGAATCCACTAACAGTCAACATAGGTAAACGCGTCAGCAAAGAAAATTGAATTCAGTGGAATTGTACCAACACTCTGACCTCACAAACTGCAAGGTGTGTACCGATGCGGAGCGGGTGGATTGAAACTACGAGGAGAGTAACGGCTACTCACTGAGATCAATCATCTGGGAAATCCACCAAGCCAACGCTTTGAGTTATATTCTCAGTACCAATCAATTTTGAGTGTTGGTCTGCGCTGACCCAAACCCAAAAACATTCGCAGTTGTGAAGTATGTCACTTCGAACGTTTTTGAACGACTGTGGAATCTACTAAGCGATTGCCTTCTTGTCCACCCTAGTACGTTCGCGCCCGCCAAATGTTATTCAACAAGCCACGTCATATGCCCTGGACGGTCGGACCTAATTGCATCATATTCAAGTTAATGTAGATGCTTATTCCAACTAAGTACTCTAGTCTATGAGGACACTGTAAACCAGATGCAGACCTACCAGATGGTGGGGTGGGAGAAGCTTTCAAACGAATGTTTAAAACGCGAGCAGTGGATTTTCTTCATTTTTTACGTGCACTCTTTCACTGTACTTTCCAAACGAAGGATGTGATTCTCGGCACACTGTGACCTAGACTGGGGCTCACTTTCAGTTCAGCCTGTGGGACACGGTCACTGCATTAGCAGAAGTCCCGAAACACTACTGAAGCTACCTCAGCTGACGGCGCATTTGAGGTGTTTGCCAAAGTCCGCTTCAAAGTACTGTGTTTTGTTTCAGCCTGTGATGTGATTGGCTTGTCACAAAACCCGTTATTTCGGTTCAAAGTCAACAAAACACAGGTTGATTGTTCTGTGGTTATCTCTAATTTACCGTCGACTGTGTGTAAGACTGCTCGTGGTGACGCACATCGAATGAGAATTATTTTGTAAGTGATCTCGTCACGTCGTTTATTGTTGGACAAATAAGATAACATGAGATTGTTCAATGTCCATAAAAAATAGTCCCTCACTAAAACGCATTCAAAACCAAAGCCATAATGAATCTCAGTACGTTTGTGTCCATCGCCTCTGAGCTTTTTTTCCTAGACGCTGAGCCTAGGTCTTTTCTGTGGAACGAATTCATTGGCCAGCTAAAATGTCCAATTTAGGCATTATTTTTGGCTCCTAATTTAGCATACAGATGAGTATGATTAGGCAAAAACTTTCTGCATGTGTGAAGATATGTTTGACTCCAACGGCAAAATGTGGATATTTTCGATCACCCCGAAATAATCACCAGACACTCAGCCAGACTAACCTACGTCAGTCCGTGATGAATTACGGAATGATCACACCCTTGTTGAAATATATTGTGACAGTGGTATCCATTGTTGTTCTATTCCCGAATACACATACATCGATTATGCGTACGGAATGTTGAACTTCATCCGTTAGTCAATCCGTGAGTTGCCTAATTCAACGATAGTGAAAACTAGGATCGAACTCTCTTACCTAGCAAGCTCTGGTTATCAATCACATAAAAAAGTGATGTTTTCAAAATTCGGCTCGCGTAGCACCTAGTCGGGTGGAAACAAAATTTCAACAAACAAGCTGATTCTGACTAACAGAACAATCGTTAAGTACATGCTAAGTGTTTTTGAATTTTGAGCGGCCGAAATTTACTAGCACCAAGTCTGATTTACCGAGCCATCGAGTTGCCCCCAACAATCACTTGAGAAACATACAATCTACAGATTCGCTTTCAAGAACCAACAATTGGAACCCATGTAGAATTACCACCACTTTTCAATGCTGGCATATTCCCACACAGGTTCACCCAAATGCATCTGCACAACTCCCGTAGTGTCCTCTCAGGACTTCTTCACTGAATTTTCACGTGTCTGTTCAATGGGCTGAGTCGGTGCACCGTTGGATTGTGTGTCGTCCCAATAGGGGACTCATTTTATGAACTTCAACAAATAGGCACAACAACAAAAGTTGACTACACCATAATTTCTGCTCTGTCTCCTGAGATACTGCACTAGCTTCAACCCATGTGATCAATCTCCTAGATAGTGCATAGTGAGTCCAAAAGTCGAGCCTAATGACCTTGGTGAAAAGGGAACAGATTCNCATTAGACCGCCTGGGTCATCAATCCAAAATAGAGTAAAATTCGATTAGAGTAAAGATTTATGCTTGTGTTTACGCTTTTCCTGGTTTGTCTGAACCAGTTAAATCCTGGTTTGCGAACCGCTTGAAACACTGTGCAGAACTTCGCGATGTGACTTGTGCACCGATAAGCAACAGATTTGGTGAGAACACTGGGACCGTGTTTACATGATGAGCATGGAAAGCTGTTCCTCTGTTTGGAACATATATTGATGCCTAGCAAACTGCATACAGAAATGTTTAAAAAACCATCTGAACTGTGCAAATCATACCTGCTTATTCAACTCACCTGGGGCGCAAGTGGCTTTGAACATCCTGTGAGTGTTTTCGGTATTTGTGTCCAGAAACAGGGTCAACTTTTTCTGTTCAAACGTGCTGTCCCATACTTCCCTGCTTTCACAAAACTCTTCAATATGAGCCAATTTACCGGACACTCCACCGAGTATGTGCAAGCCATTGGTTTTGCAGTTAGTGGTACTTCCATCAACCTACAATGCGAGCGGAGGAATTGCTTCAAGTTTCTGCATTAGAAGTGAAGTGAGTATATGAAGGAACTGAGACCACAAAATTAAGTGCCGAGTTTGAGCCGACACTTGTTATGTGCGAGATCTCGTGTGACTAAAACTTTGACTTCTTTGACTCGTTTTCTGACATCAATGCTAACAGCGGTTATTTATTTGCCCAAGTCCCGTCCACATTGCATAATCATTCATCATCAGAGATGGGAAAATCGATGTAGATAATGGTGCTTTACCTGCGTGAGTTCTCGTATTCTACGTGACATTTTCCCAAGACAAAGTTAAATATGGGGAACATTACGGAGGGAGCCACCAGGTGCTAGCATTTCACAAGCATTTTGAGGTACTAACCACTTCAAAAGCCAATTCAAGTGATTCGGAAAGAAAATGGCATGAGAATCACCATAGACAGCTCCACATCTTGCATTGCTTGCAACTAAGTGCTGGCTGTCGCTGGAATAATATCTTTGTGAACGCATCGCACTGACATCACCTACACACTTCTTAATCCCTTGCACACAATGCTGTCAAGCTGCACGCTGCCCCCTTGGTTTTTGTGCCATTCCGGATGCCCGACGATGAACCGTACGTTTGCAGACAGTCTTCTGGCATGCGCAGAACATGGCAGATTCGACGTCGTTGGCGGTGCCGAAAGTTCTGCGCAACTGAATCGCCTTCATCACAACCAAATATCCTTCCTCCAATTACCTCGTTGCAAATTCACTGACACCATCCGACTCTGACCGTATTTACGAGATATAAGTGGACAACAATTTGGAGATGGCTCACATCGTCTGCCCTCAGAAGCCACGTCTGGCAACCACACAGCAGTGCAGTCCCTAATGTAACCAAGCAAGTGCAACGTTTACGCTCAGCGATATGCCACATCTGAAGCAGATTTGTAGGCGTGGTTCGTGTACTGAGACAGACACATTTACGTCAAAGCTATTGATTGTTTCCGCAACCAGGTGGATCACTTTGAATTACGCGAAAAACCGTAGAATTCTAATCGTTCGAACTGCAGGTTTATAGACGAATATTGTCCTATGAATACAACAATAAAACAATAGAAGTGTGTAGACCTTAAATTGCGTGATTACGAAAGCATCTATGCACCAGGATTGGTAATGCTAATTCCAAATAGCATCCTGGCCACAGATTGACGAAACTCAAGCGTTTGTAAGGGATGAAGTGCGTGGTGACAAGGTCAAAGAACGGTCAGGTGAAGGAAAGAAGTGCGAACATTTTCATCGTACACAATGAAAACGGAAAAAAAAGAATCAAAAACAGCCGACACAACTGCCAAGACATGTGGAGGCCGCCACTTGAACTGCAAGGTGCATGTTCAGGGACAGTGCGTTCAGGCCCACTGTGAAGATGGAAGGCGCATGCCGCAAGATTCTATGCTTTTGACCAATTTGGTCAACATGGTCCGTGTTTTGAAGTTGTTTTTAGAGATGACAACCAGGTTATCCGTGTACTCCAGACCTACAAGTTTCCAACCAGCAATAATTCGAACGATGAGGCCTTGATGACCTTCCAGGCTTAGCCTGGAAGTCGAACAAGCATGCAAAGTGTGTGGAAGATATTATGGTGCATTCACGCGCGGTCAACTTTGTGAAGCTGACGATAGAATTATGTACACAGAATTGTGGAGCATTCGCTTTTGTGCAAGTGGTGTGGGCATCACTGACCAATCGACGGAGTCGAACGTACACTTGAGGTCAAGGTACATCAACTTAGTGGGTCATTGGTACATGGGGAATTACTGTTACACCTAATGGGGTGTCAAAATGCGTACGATCAAGTCGCTAACGGGTCCACTTTCCGGTTGTGGCTCAATCGCAAAGTCTGCGTGCCACCATAGAACAACAAAGTATCATTGACGTCAGCTACCTTGTTAGAGTGGGAGTCAAACATGCATTTATTTGGTTACTGCAATTACTGGGAGTACCCTTTTTGTTTGCGGGTTGCATCTCATGGGTTTTCTTGAATTCTGGTTCCAAAGCCTTCCCAGTGGCTAAGAGATATATGCGCTTATTGTGTACACTGTAAAAGCACACTAAAACTCTACATCGAAGTCCACGCAGGTAATCCAGAAAAGCTGGCAAACCGTGATCAAACCCAGCCACGAGTGACTGATGTCTACATGGTCGAGCGGGTTTCGGGGTGGTTGTCATCATTGTGTTAAACCGTTTCCCCGGACCCAAATGTTAATGCAGCGGATAAACCGTGTGTGAGCGGTCTACTTTTGAAGCAGGCGACCTAATTTGATTTGTCCTAGCGTCTCGTGTCTAAACCAGGACGACCGGAACCTGGAAGAGATTTGGTGAAAATCACTTCAGCTGCACTAAATACGCCCTATACCCTGGTTTCAGACACCGCGTAAAACAATACGCATGGAATCCAGCGTACCAGCAACAAATGCATGCTGTCTGTTCAACCTACTGTTCCTGCATTCAACCTGCAAGCATTATAGGTAGTTATGTGCACCGGAATTCGGGGTCTAAAGGTAGACTTCGAGGTGTTTGGACTTTACGCTGAATCCCCTGAAGACAGACGTAAAAGCGCTAATCCTGAGCGTGATGCCAAGCAAAAAAGCCAGTATGTCCTACTGTGAAGAAACGCGGATTCGAAATTTGGGTAGTGTAGGTTGGGAAAAGAAGTGTGTGAATGACACCAACAACAGTTTTCCTTATCCACGCTGTTACATGCAGAAGGTGAGACGACCCTGGTGATGCCACCAAAGGACGGCCGATACAGCAAGATAACGTCCCTATTTGTGACGTTCATAATTCTACGCGAACTGCAATATTGTCACAGAGCACACGCCTACACAGAAAGACGTTTCGAGACCAAAACCAAAACCGTAGTCTCAAATCGCCAACCGCAAACCTGCGCATCCACGCCACTGGTACAGAAACTGCAATTCCAGGATATGGTCTAGAGTCTTTATGATGGTTTCACAAACACTGTTTGATTATCGCTCTGCCAAGCTAGGCGAATTATATTCATGAGATTTAACATCTTATGAATCTTCAGACCAGGCTTGGTGTGGAATGTCGATCGCCCTATAGTCGTCGAACACCCATTTTGAAAGCAGCACTGCACAACCCGGTGATTTACAGTACGTATATCCCCATGATTTTAGATTACTACAGCTTTTTTGCTCTTGTTATTTACGGTGCCACATTAGGTGTTGAAATTCCGCGTATTCAGTGAAGTATAATATGACCTCTCCGGTTGTTTCACGTCACCGTTGGACTCGTCCTGGAGAATCTCGCAATTCAGGAGAGCAGATAGTTTGCCTGATCAGGTGTGGCTGTCAGGTGTCAGTGCAACAACACACTTACGACTGATGAAATAATGAACCATAGTTGATCCGTCTTTTGGGCTACAAACTCCTCAATGCAGAGCCGCGGATTTCTCGGAAACTGCAGGTTACAAGGCTGCGTGTACATTAGGAACGGTTTAATGGAGTTCAAGCCATGACTATCTAGATAGACACCACATACATAACAGAAAAATTCAGTAGTGTGAACAAATTCCTGTGCATGCGTTCGGGAACGGAGTTAGACCACCTCACGAATCTATAAAAGACTAGTTCGACGAATAGAATGTGAGTACACTGACAACGAGGACGACGATAAATCAAGAGAATGTTGGTGATGATGAGGATGCCGTTGAAGAGCGTATGGGTGATGATGAAGATGAACGCGATTTGAGTATTCTGGAGCACAATCACGTGCCCTCCGTGATATGGTGCCAAAAGTATCATTTTGGTGCATGGGACAAACATTCCTGTTAATATTGTTCAGGTATGCACACTCGCACATTGCTAATAGTCACTGACTATGCGGGGCTTAACTGTTGCCCTGAGCACAACGTACAGGCTTCTTTGAATCACATCACTGGGTAAACATCCTTCATAAATGATTAAGCGGTCATTTTTGCAACAGATCCTTAAGCTCGATTCGACCCTGATATATTCACCTGCATTCTAAAGGAGAGGTTAAACTTACATTGAATTCTTTAAATTGCAACCGCATTTGGAAATCCTTCGGTACCTGGATTCTCCAAAGACACTTCAGGGGTTCGTTCGACAAAAACTCATCAGGAGGGGATTTGATGTATGAACAAGAATCACTGAATTCAAACTGACAGTTAGCTGTGACAACGAGAAGAGAACAAATTCATAGGGTATTTCAATGAACCCATGTTGACCTTTGCCAACATTATCAAACATGAGTGTCAAAATCTGACATGCGACCGAAAAACTAGAGGTCAACCATTAGGAACAAGCTTTCGAACGCTACATATAGGATAGCAGTCGGTCTCATTTATCTTAGGTGGTTCCACTGAACACGATTCCGGCACTGAATAACAGACTATGTAAAGCTATTCGAAAGTAAGACGACCATGCTAAATAGAACAGCGAAAGCAGAGTAAAGGGATAAGCAGGCAGAAAAGTCAGGTGGAAAGAATTTGATATTCGCATATGATTGTATAGTGACTGCCCACTCGTTCTACGTTTAACGTTATTAGGATATCTGATGATGAGAACTCAAACTGTGATTACACAGCACAATGAGGATGATAATTACCTGTAGCTAGTAAATATTTACAGCAAGTTACAGCTGACCGGAACAGTTATTCGCGCTCGTACTGAGAGTGTTCTGTTTCAGAGCAGCTGGGATGATAATCAACACATAGGACTCGATATATTTCTCGGTACACCAGACTCCGGGTGTCACATCAGTAAACGTGGGGAATCAAGGACGGGTTTCTCAAAAGCTTCCCCTACTTTCCTTCTTTACGAAGTCTGTACCAACATAACGGATCTTCTCTTAGTCCGCAGATTATTTCCCATTCGAACGGATCTGGAAGATTCCACAAGGCGGTTGGAATACTCCTATTAATACTAGACTACTCAAATGAAACCCATTCCAGATCAGGACAAAGGCGCGTTCCAGTCGGAAGTTCTTGTGGTATAAATTTCTGACGTCTGGATTTCTGGGGCCGTCGACACAATTTGAATGCACGACATTCGGTCTTCTCAGACGAAATACGTGAACCCTGACTAACCAACAAAAATCGATCAAGTGCACCTGGTATTCATTGTTGTGCGCTGTGAGTGCAACAACGATTACGAAATTCATCCCGATTTCTCGCCTTTCCGGTATGCTTCCAGTTTTCTAAACTGCACGCACCCACAAGTTGCCATTTTCCATCTGCGGCCTTCCACGCGAATTCACGACGCGCGAATGCAGCAGAAAGCCTCATGTGCAAACCAAACGCAGCTGAATGTCATTTGCTATAATCAAATGTTTCATGAAAATCTGAGATTATACTGGTTGTGTGAAGATTTTCAGGATGTCGGATTTGGTATGGGTGAGTAGCAGTTATGCACGGTTGGTATCCCCATTGGCCACTGCCCTTTCAGGTTGGCTCTGGAGAACCTCGGTGATCCGCAAATGATGCACCATCTTGCTCATGAGCAGTAAGTTTTGTGCTTCGCCCTCTAAATCCAAGCGCCTAACGAGGAAATTTTGGTAATATACTAAGACGCTTCTTAACTGAAGCCGAAAAAATTGGGCAAACTTGTAATACAATTTTCGCCATGCACGTGAAAGTTATCTGTCAGAAATTCCGCCGACGGAGAGATTGCAACTATTCGATTTGACTAACCAATATGAAAACACAGACATCGAGGATCGTTTCCCGCGCACTCGGTACTACAAGATAAGTCACGACGAGCATACCACTATCTCGTTAAAAACAAACAGGTGCGAAGATGAGCGTCTACGTCTAGTCTCCAGTTATTCGGATTCCAGTAACCCACAAAATTCATAGAAACCCGAAAACTATGCTTACCTGATGAGAGCCAGTAATAGCAAAACCTCAAATGGGCTTCTAAAGGGCTTCCAAAACATTAACAGTAGCATGCAACGTATGGACGCGACTCACTCGACACATAAGTGGCTTCGAAATAATCGCCTTCAACCGATTCGTCAGTGCGGAGTCGAATCAACAAATTTGATCCAGTCGACATTAGCCACGCATTGTCACCTTCCGTTCCACACCATTTGCCCAACTCCGTTTCAGTGGTTCCATCCACTTCAATCACTGACACGTACTTTGCCTGACAATCGGGAATCCTGCTTACCCATGTGTCATACAGTAGACGAAATTTCCAAATGAATTTTACACAGTGAGATCTCCACTCAACGAACGCTCGAATAGAAGGCAACCACAGATAGTTTACAACAATGCCGCCCAAATGTCAAACATTTGAACAGACCAGCACAGTGCTGAACTTCATTGGAAACGACGTAAATCGTTTATCTTTCGAAACAAGCGTATTCCAAATTCTACATTAGGCGAGATGGATTGCCCGACTCATTGGCGGACATCGGGATATGTGGGTGACATACATTGTCACTTGTGCATGAGTATGTCAAGGCTTTATGGACGAGTTCAACCCAAGCGTTTTGCGCTCATTCTGTATGTACCATTGAAGTTGGATTAAAAAAATATCAATGTGTTATGTGGACAAGCTTACTTTGAATCTATTGAAGTGCAGTAAGATGGGTTTTCCGGACGGGTTTCTGATTTGCCAGTCACAATTGCGCTTCTCGTCAATCCTGCCAGTCCAAGTAATTGAGCCGTATTCGTTGTCGACCAACTCGCTGCACGCGGCTTCATGTGAGGGAATAGAAATAGATACTCTGACGCGGTGTTTAGTGCTCATGTCTCGTGTTCATATCTGTCGTATATGTATTCAATGGAGGCACTCCGTTTCCGTATTATCAATACCAATTTATCAATTTCTTTTCGCGTGGTCGGTGCCTAAACCACATAGTTATTTTTCTATCCAAAGCTGCTGTACACACAGCCAGGATTTTGCTGGCTACATGACTGTCGAGCCAGTTAGAAAATGCGGATCTTCTTTAAACAACTGCAGTTTTCGGTTGCATGGATCGTCTGTATTTGGCTAATAGTGAGTCAGTGTCCCGTTCACATCATTATAATATAGTTATTTCCACACCAGGTGAAGAATATAAGAACTGTCCCATCAAGCTCAGTTTTATCAAAAAAGTTGAAACGTACTTTTTTCTAAATAATGTGCACGATGTTACGAGTTACGTACACCTTAACTCTGTTCAACTTAATTCCGGCAACACGGTGACCTCATAATCTACGAGGTTTCCATCAGTAAATAGCATGATGATGGAATGCCGTAACCGGAAGCGTGAACCGCTTATCCTGCTGATCATTTTAGCCAAGAAATCAAACAATTAGCCCTTTGTCACACGTTTCCGGACTGCACCTTCCAACTCTCAGCTCCTTCATCCGTACGTCGGAATGAACCTGGACATTTACGACTCACAAGCTGCGCAAAATTCTTCACCCTATCTGAATGGTCAGTCATGTAGCTTCTTCTGTGAAATTAACCTTGAATATCGAAGCAATACAATCTGCTTCAAGCATCCACACTACCGATATGGTGCCGTCTCTTTTCTCGCCATGTACGAAAGTAAAATAGCAAGGATCCTGAGCCGAGTACACATAACGTAAAGAAGGTTTTTCCTTGAAATTAAACTGAACTTCAGTATGTTTGAGCACCAGCTCTGCACCCACCGATTCACACAATTGAAATCCAATCCCAACATGAAATCACCCCCTAAACTCATCTCACCCAAACGAATTTGGACACTGTTGGATGCTGTTCGAAGTTCCCGTTCACGAACACCAGCCATTTTCTGGAAGGTCGCTCACATGTGCGCGCATTCATAGCCGATATTTTCCACCAAAGAAATGTGCATACTACACTCGGGAGATTGAGAAATCGTCAACCTTACAGGTGTAGCATGAGGCAGCCTCACTAACATCGCTTTTCGCTGCGAACACTGAATATGACATACGAATTACTTGTACGCGTCTGTCACGATGATAAACAAATTGAACCCAGGGGTAAACTTACCCACTGTTAGGGCCGTTCCACTTTGAACTGATGAGGAGTTTAAATGTACAATGCATGAGTCCACCATCTAACGATAATCACTACAGCTATACGTATGAAATGCCAATGTGTGATATATTTATGGCGTAACACAAAAGAGGGTAAAGAGATCGGCACACTACTGAAAACATGCAAATACTTGCCGCATGATTCATGTCATTTTGCTTGATCCTGTTCACAAATAGGAAAGGAATCTGGCGAATATACACTCATTTGCAAACTAATTTGGTTTTTTCGAGAGACATTCAGTCGCCTGAAAACATCACAAAAGATTCAGATGGGTTCCAGGTGAGTCTCTTGAAAAACCAAATTAGTTTGCAAATGAGTGTATGTTCACTAATTCCGTGCAATTTGGTTTCAAGTAGAACATAGGGTCGACGGAAACCCGAGGACTGCGCCTACCTGATGAGCCCCAAGAAGGGCGAAACCGATCGTGGACTGTCGATAGATTTTCAACAACCTTATGAGTAGTGCATTACAAGGAAAGGAATCTCATTCGCGCCACATATTTGTCGTTTAGTCCCTCTCACACCAAGCACCCAAACAAGGATTGAACTGCACCCAACCTGGAAAGTTGTGATCTTCCCGATTTCCCAGAATCAACCAAAAGTCAACAGAAGTAAACATGTATCAGCCAATCAAAGCCAGTTCAACTGAATTGTGGCAACCGTGTAACCTCAGAAAATGCCAGTTATGTACTGACGATGAGGAAGTAAATGGCGGGGAGCAACAAGGTGCGGACACGGGCACTCATCGTGATTCTCTGTTCCGAATACTTAAGCAACTGTTGTTTCTATTTGTGGGCTCCCAATCAATCAAGTGCTAAAAACATTCGGCCCTAAGTTTTACGCTCTCTTTGACGTTAAAATCCCGGCATGTTGTTCCGCATAATCCTGGGCTTTTTAAGGTATCGTCTAATTAGCGAAAACATGGTGGACGATATAAACCAAAGAAGGCAAGCATGAACTGCAACAAAACACAGAAAATCAATCATGTTTGTTGCTCTTCAGTGGATGACGAAATTTCAAGCTCGAAATCCGATGCGCTGTGTAGCCATACATGAGAAGCATTTAACTGGCATATTTTCCTTCTCTAAGGCTCGATCTGGAATCTGCGCACACTGGAATGTTTAGGAGCACGCAGGTGGCTTGATCCAGTCCGAGCGTTGAGTTCTAACTAATTAATATCTGGGTTAATCGGTGATTTTCCATTTTTCGAGAAATTTCAACGATATTCACAGCTCTTTTCGGTTGGTTCGCTTTTGAAACCAACACAGCTATGTGTGGTGCCGCATTGATCTGAGTTGATCAACGGGCACCTTCCAAACGATACGGAAATTCGGCTGGACATCTAGCAGTGGTCCTTGTCTCTTAAATTATGAAAGACTCAGTTAGCTATCATATATTCAGTTCTGAAAACTGGCCTGATCTGTAGGGAACCTATTATTTTGGCTCGGATTAAGCCGGAAGAGAATTGGTCTGTGGGTGTCACCACTGCATTGCCCCTGGCGTGGCCCTTCAGCTGTGTGCAAACGTGCATCAACCGGCTTGGTGTGGTGCACCTCAGGCGGAAATTTTTTGTGTGATTTCGACATAAGCAGCACGTTGTTTTCATTGATGGGTTGCACAAAAATGCACGTCTCACGATAATCCAGAGCATAGTAGCCCTTTATTGAGAATATTTAGATGGGATTCCATGGAAAATTTCCTACAACCTCAAGTTTATTGTGCTCAGTGCCTCCCAGATTGACTTCTAGACCGGAATGCTGATCTACAGAGCTGAGCCAACATTCTACAATGTGTCTTCTACAACAAGCCGCTAAACATAACTCCACTCTTGAGCCCGTACAACTGTACGGCGTGAAAATATAACCTGATCGGAGCCAGTAAAATCACTTTCCACTGGGTAAACCCAACATGAATCAGGAGTTACTAACATGCACCTGTCGCGATAAAACACGAATAGAGTGCACCGACAGACTTACCGGGTGCTCTGTCCACACTAACACCATCATCTGGTGAGGAGGCTAGTTGTAAAATGTAAAGAAGTTAGTGTGAAGCTAAGCTAATATGTGATATGGTCGCGGAGTAACAAAGAGGAAACAAGATCGAAATACCATCGAAAAACTGCAGGAAGTTCTCGCAGCAGAGACAATACCCGCAGTTGACTTAAAGGTCTCGATTGCTTCAACGGCAATACGGCGCATTGTGGATGATTAAAATGCTTCAAAACCTGTCGGAACCAGCTAGGTTCGTTAAAGTGCGGTGAACGTTTGTATTCTGTGATGCGGTTCTTAAGAATTTCTCTCCTCAATCAGAAACCGAGCAAATTGAATTTAACCCTGAGATATCGTTTTGACACCGTTTTGGTTGTTTGTTTGCCACGTGAAATGAAATGGTAGGTGAAGAAAAGAATGCAGAATTATGGAAGGTCCAGTTAGCAAGACAAAAATCAGAATTTTTCTGCTCTCTTCAAACAATCAATCATTGTGTGGATCCTGCCACAACGTGAATAAATCACAAGTAGTTGCATATCAACCTGTATACTTAATCGGTAGTTTAAGGGTTAGTGTAATGGAACAGGTTTGCGTGGTTGAATTTCTGCTGCCATTTACGATTCTCTTATGCAGATTTCATTCTTGTGTTGATCGCAGCGTGAAGGGGTAAAGCGGAGCCATATCCTGCCTAGGTGAGACTTAATGACACTGCTGTTCAGCCGCTCTTGACCGGACAGTCAATCGTTCAGCCACCCGTCTGACGGCCCCGGGTTCAAAACTCTGTGAAGTTCTGTGAGATGTGCACTGTTGATGATTCCCGATAAGGTTCCTCAGAGATTTGGTCTTGTAACAACATGAGGTTCACCTAGGCCTACCAAACCATTGTAATATCCGTGAGAAGCATATATTTCTTTCGGATTAAACGAGAGTTTGCCATCTACATCTCCGAGATGTCTATCAATCATGTCCAGTTGCCATCTAGAATATTGAGTGTCGCTGGGCCACCATGATAGCAGTAGTCTCACAGAATGCGTGAGTGCTTCGTTAGTACCAGTTATGCCCTGGTTGCCCTGCAGTGGTTGGATACATCCAAAATCGTCCGTGTGACTATGTTGTGTCAGGCAACCCTTGAGTGGAATAAAACATTTAAAATTCGCGTTTCGTGCACATTTTCCGTAATGCCAATCTTTTTTACAGATTCCAAGATTGAGTTTGAATGTGTCGGATGCTGTTCAACTTGCGAAGTTTTCCATCACGAACACCATGCGTTGTCTGGAAGGTCGCTCACAAATGCGCGCAGTGACAGCCGATATTTTTCACGGAAGAAATGTGCATATTTCACTCGGGAGATCGATAAATATTGAATCGTACAGGTGTGGCCTAAATCAGCCCTACTAACATCGCTGTTCGGTACAAAAATTAAACATGATGTAGAAATAACGAGTACTTGTCTGTCACGATGAAACACGGATAGAATGCACTGATAAACTTACCGTCCGGTACGCCCACTTCAGCATCTGCAACTTCTGAGGAAGTTGGAGGTGAAGAAAGTCGAACAAATAACCAAATCAGTATAAATGTGTTAGAAACGTCAATATGTGATATGGTCTGCGCATAAGAAGAATGACGAGACACCATCTACCTAGAACCGAAAATTTCCAGGAACTCGAAACAGGAATGGTTATACCCGTGGGTGTTTCCGGGGCCTGAGGAAATACGACGAGTGCCAACCCACATGGCGCAATCTTGTAGAGTGATATGCTTCAAAGCATATTCATGGATGAGTCGGAACATGGCGGCTATGAGTCAAGCCTCCACCAGCAAGCGTGGTGTTCACCTGCGCATAAAAACACAGTACGTTCCGTCTTGTTACTATCCACATTTCCTTTCCCAATCGCCCCACAATAGTGTGTAACAGCTCGACCGCCATTTACCGGACATATCAGCCCATTCCGCAGAGCAGGCAGAGAGAATGTTTGCTGATACTTTGGGTAAAAACGCCTAGGTTTCACAAAATTGCATCAGTAAAAGGCGATCTAATGTGACCACATTTGTTATCTCAAACTCAGTGAGCAACTTACTGATGTCAGCTGCATTCTCCTAGTCCGCGATGCCTAAATGTAATCGCTCATGCGTGTACTTACACCCACCAAAGATGACAGATTTCGTTTCGGCACTAAACGTCAGAACATTGAAAT